GAAATTAAATCATTTCCCAGCATTGGGGGAACTTTCTGTCCTAATTAAATAGCCAGGACTCTTGCGGCCCGCTGTCAGGGCGATGTGCTGGGGGGAGGGGAGAAGCAGATGCCGCCCTTGGAAGGGGAGGATTAGCGGCTGCTCCCCTTTGATGCCGCCCCCTGGCTCCCATCGCGCACTAATTAGGGCCGGAGCCCGCACCTCCTGTCCTTAGGCACAAATCCATATTCACGTGCTGGGGCAGGGAGGGCCTTCCCGGGGTAGAGGGTAAGGAGAGAGGCCCTCCGCCCATGCCCCTCCACTCCTAGGCCACCAGCTCCGGCTGTCACTGTGCGCCTGCAGGCCCCTCTGCTCCCGGGGGCTGCCGAGACGGGGGCTACAGAGCTCTGCCCAACATCCTGTAGGCGGATGCCCGTAAATCCTGGAAGTTAGGCCTCCGTTCGCAGGAGGCAAGGAAGCAGAAGGGAGGACACGAGGCAGATGTACAGGGAGCAGCGAAGCCCCTCCCACCAGCCGCTGCTGCCGGGGCCCTGAGCCCAGACCCAGGGCAGAGCCCACCGACCCAGGGCCCCGCAGGCTGGCTCTGAGAACAGGGGCCACGGCCGGGCTCCGGCGGGGGTTGAGGGGGAAGAAGGCAACTCTTGCAGACTCACGGAGGAGACAAGGGCTCCGACATGCTGCAGGGAGATGACCGCAGGAGCAGCATCAGTTAGCGGATCCTCTCGCCAGCAGGGCGCGTCGGTGGGAGCGGCCCTCCCCGTTCTCGACTCCAGGTGGTGCTTCTTACTGCCCACACTTTAACTGCGATGCTCTCCCCCTTGGAACTGAAGTTCCAGGCTTACGCGTAGCGCCATTTCCCATTCGTCTGAAGAATTTATTTTTATTTGTTGGTGAAAAAAATCTTTGTTTTTCAATCTGAAAATTTCTTTCTTTCATTCTTTAAGGATACTGTTGCTGGGAGAGGGTCTAGGTCAGTGGCAGAGTGCATACTTCACGTGCACAAGGTCCTGCATTCAATCCCCAGTAACCTCCCTTAAGTAAATCTATAAATCTAATTACCTCCCCATCAGAAAAAAATTTAAAACAATAAAAATAGTAAAATAAAAGACAATGGAGCAATGTATCCAAGACTCGGGTATTTTTTTTTAAGAATACTTTTGCTGTTTATAGAGCTTTCTTTTTCATTTTGGGACCTTAAAAATATTTTATTTTCCACTGTCTTCTGGCCTCTTCCTTTCTCTCGCGAAGTCAGCATGCACTCAAGCCCTTGTCCTCTTACGCGTAAAGTGCCGTTTTTCTGTGGTTGCTTTCACGTTTCTCTTTGTCTTTGTTCAACATCAGTTTGACTGTAATGGGCTTTGGCGTGTTTTACTCTGCATTTATATTGACTTGGGTTTTCTGAGCTCCTGAAATCTATAAATTGGTGCTTTTTATGAAATTCGGGTAATTTTTATCCATGATTTATAAAAACTAATCAAAATATTGAAATGTCTGCTTTATTTTCTCTCTCACTTCTCCTTCTAGCTCTCCAACAGACCATATGTCAGGCTTTGATATTAATTCCATGGGTCTCTGAAGCCCTCTCTTACGTTTTCTCTTCTTTTCCTCCCTCTTCTTCGAAATGGATAAATTCTATTGATTTCTCTTCCAATTCACTAACTCTTTTCTTTGCTGCTTCTGTTCTGCTGTTCAGCCTATCCGCTGAACTTTAAAATTTCAGGTTTACATTTTTCAGTTCTAGAATTTCCATTCAGTGATTTTTTATAGTTTCTATCTTTCTACTGCAGCACCCCATCTATTTATTGATTGTGAGCATATTTTCTTTTATCTCATTAGGCGCAGTAGCCATAGCAACTTTAAAACCCTTGTCTGCGTCCACATCCTGCTCATCTTGGGGTTAGCCTCCATGGATTGTCCTTCTTTCTTGAGAAGGGGCCACATTTTCTTCTTTCTTCATATAGGGAGTAATTTTGGATTATATCCTGGCCTTTGTAAATGCAACCTGTGGAGCCTCTGGGTTGAGGTGCTTTGATTTTCACTGTCTTAATAAGCAATTCATCTGACATGATTCAACCTGAAAAAATCTTCCTTTTGGTTGCAGCTGAAGTCTCAGGTGAGTTTTTCGGCCCGGGCTGGGCTGTTTGGAATCTGCCCTGCTCATGTGTGGTTCAGGGGTCAGGCAGAGACTGGCAGAGAATTTATACACATGCTTTTGGATCTCCGCCTTGCCTTTCTGTGGCTGAGGCTGTCTTCAGCCTTGTGCTCTGGTCTTCACGCCATGGAGACTGCGTGTTGCATTGGACTTTGGGGTTATTTCCGTGACCTGCGAGGTGAGGCCTCAAGGCTGCCCTTGGGCTGGAAGTTGTTGAGTTCTCCTCAGCCCTGACTCCTTCCACAGTCTGCTGGCTTTCTCCAGTGTCTTCAGCTAGATGTTTTATTATCTTTTTTTTGAAGCCCAGCGTTTATAGTTGTTATCTTCAGAAGTGTCAGTGTGACAGGATCTTACTTGCTTGCCACCAGTGTCAGAGCTTCGAGGTCTGTTTGAAATCTTTGTTAGTGATGGGCCAGCGGAGCTTCGCTCTGGGGCTGGTCTAGTCCTTCCACTGAGGCTGCGGCCCTCCTGGAGTCTCTGAAAGCCCGGGGCGTTGCTCTGGGCTGAACTGGGTCTCCCCACCAATGTTCATAGTTTGAAGCCCTAGGCCACAGTATGAACATATCTGGGAGAGGGTCTTCAGGGGGTGATTAAAATTAAATGAGGTCATAAGGATGAGGACCTGATCCAACTGGACTGAGGCCTTATAAGAGGAGGAAGAGAGAGCTTGCTCACTGTCCACCATGGGAGGACACGGCAAGAAGCCAGTGTCGGGAGAGCTAGCAAGACAGTCTCCCCAGAGCCCCACCATGCTGACACCCTGATCTCAGGCTTCCTGCCTCTAGAACTGTGAGAAGTGAATGCCTTTGTCTAAGCCGCCCAGTCTGTGGGGCTTCGTTGTGGCGGCCCAGCTGATTCCCGCAGGCGTTTGAAAGATCTCCTCTCTCTGGCTGATCAGAGCTCGAATGTCCCCCCTGACAGATTTCTAGGGCTCTCCTACGGTCCAGCCCCACACCTCTGGCCCTGCTCTCCATGAATTCCAGCCTCTCCACCTCCCTGAGCCCCAGCCACACCTCCTCAACTCAGCTAGGCGGCTATGCCTGCTCAGGTCCCCAACCTTAGCTGCATTCCAGAAAGTGTCTTGGAGCCGAAAATGGGGTGCTCACCAGGCTCCCTGCCCTCAAGGTCACAGCCTGACACTGCCTGCTGTACAATGTTGGGAAGCAGTCTTTCCATGCATTTTGTTCAGTTCTGGTGTCATTTATGGCAGGGGGCAAAGTCCCTAATAGGTCATTGTCATGGTCAAAGCAGCCACCTAGGGGGCCTTAGCAGAACCCCTCACTTCTCACTAGAGGGTAACGCACACACACATCGCACGATGAGAGTGGTGGTGGGTTTGCACAGAAGGGAGCCCGCTTGTGGCCAGAACCCGGGTCAAGGAAGGAAAGACCCCCACCTCCAGACACCCCTTCACATCCCAGCTTCAGAGGCCGCCAGTCTCCGCTTCCAGCCTCGCAGACCAGTCTCTCCTGGTTTTTGAGGTTCGTGGACCGGGGTCATGCACTCTGCGTGTTCTCCTGTCTGGTCCCCCGCTCCATTACGTCAGTGACCTTCCATCCCCCCAGAGTGCACAGCCATACTTCCCTCGGCATCGCTGCTTCTGCTCTCCACCCGGTGCCCACCCTGGCTTGGCGTCCGGCCACCTCTTTTGGGTCCATTCCCAAGGCTGGAAACTACGCGTGGTCCTAGGATTCGTGTGTGTCTGGCTTCCACAGATGCCGCCAAGCAGTTCTACGAGGTTTCCCAGGCCCCCCTCCCCCAGGCTCGCTCCGTTTACCCTTTTCCCACCCATTCATTTTGGCCAAAATTCATTCATTCACCGTGGTCGGGACTTGCCCCCCCTGCTAACTAATGAAAGCAAGCGTTTCATTTGTTGTACGTTTCGTGGGCATTTGGAGGTTCCGTTTTGTGAAACCCAGTTCAATACTTTGCCTTTTTTCAGTCCTCTTGCCTTACCCTCTTTTAAGAAGATGAATGTGCTGGAGTTTTTTGTTTTTGCTTTTTTTTTATATGGATACGTCTTTGGTCGGAGATGTGTATTGCAAAGATCACCTTTTGGCTGAAATTTTCACGCCTTTAATAGTATCTCTGATGAACAGAAGTTCTCAGTTTTAACATGGTCCCATGGATCTGTTTTACTATTTATGTTTAGTGCTATTTGTATCTTGTTTAAAATTTCTCTTTAAATCTTAAATCATCTCCCCACTGAGACGACGCTGAATTGTGACTCATCCCTGCGATGTGCCCCCTCATCCTTTGTCTCAGCACTGATCTGACAGACCGGTCTTTTATTTCTTCATACAAACTGTTGATGAGAATATTCGACAACACAGGGGTGATGTCACAGTCCGCTGGGAACTCCTGGAACCCTCCCTGCAGGGTGACGCTGGGCCATTAGCCAATTCCTTTTGTCTATAATTCTCTGTAACAGACAAAATGCACCTAACAGTTCATCTGGAGTGCACTCACTCCCATTTCATCCTCCAGCATAGCACGGCACACTTGGAAAATGCCTGCAAAGATCACGATAACTGGCCCCTCGTCGGCCAGGCTAAGGACCATGACAAGAAAAGAAAATGAGGTTAGTTTCACATGATCGCCTCTTGGAAAACCCATGTAGTCAGAGGGCAGAGAAGGGGGGCTTGTGGGCCACGTGAACCTGGCTGGGTTCTCCTCTCTTCTCTGGGACTAAGTGTGCGCTGAGTCTGATATTTTAAGAAATTGGCAGGGCCCTTCAAACCACAGAGCAGACTCCCCTGACTGCCGAGGCTGGTTGCCTAGTAACCGCCTCTCAAGACGTCATCACCAGCGGCAGTGTGGGTACCCAGGGTGAGGGTTCACAGGTGAGCCAGGCAGGCAGAGGAAGGAAGGGTGGTGTGATGGCAGCGCAGGCCAGGCAAGGCCCAGGGGGTGTGGGACGTGATCTGGGCCCGGGGCTGAATGGACGCCAGCAGCGGTGGAGAAGGAGGGGCCAGAGTGGCCTGGGGGCAGGGCTGATGGCCACAACATTAACAGCAGAAGGGCCATGGGCCGGAGGAGGGACCCACAGCTCTACAGGCGAGGCTGAAAGAGAGGAAGCTGACCCTGGGAGGAAGCTCCCCACTGGCAGAGGAAGGAGGCCCCAAGCAGCCAAGCGGCCAGCAAGCCCCCGGTAGGCGGGGACCGTCCCCGAGGACGCCTGCGGCCGGCAGGGCTGCTGTCAGCTCCTTAGTCAGCCACTGCCCAGGGCCCCACTTGGGAGGGTGAGTGAGGTGGTTTCTTCACCGAAAGCAGCCCAGTGTGTCCTGAGCACCCCCTCCTCTGGGCCCCGTGCCCACCACGGCGGGGGCTCCACAGCAGTCCCATGAGCAGGGCCTGGCCTGGCCCTGACAAGAAGACAGGAAAGCTGAGGCTCAGAGGAGAAAGTGACCTGCCCGTGTCCCCTGCATCATCACTGAGAGCCCCCAGGGACACCCCCCAGGTCACCTGGCTCTGAATTTGCTGGGTGAGTGAGGGCGAGGGTTGGGGCTGAGGCTGGGGGCCTCCCTGCCGTGTCACTGGGAAAGAGACAGAGACAGGGGGCCATTATGGGTGGATGAGCCCACGGGACACGGTCACGCAGGGCAGTGACTTCCAGGGTGGGGGGAAGGCGTCCTCTGGCCTCTGCAGGCGCCCGGGAGTCTGCGCCCCCAAGGCAGTGGGTGGGGTGAGCATCCGTGGAGCATCTGGGGAGCACCATCCTCGCTGGGGAGGTGGCACCGAGCAGAAGGAGCCAGCTCTGAGGGCCGCCCTGGAAGGCCTGAGCCTCAGGGTGGGTCCTGCAGGGTCAGCACGGGCTGGCGGGTCAAGTGGGCCGTGGCTCTAAGTCACATGGCATCTCCATCTCACCAGCTGGTCACTGTGTTGGTCCGGCAACTCGAGGTGGGCGATTAACATAAGCAACGCGGCACCACACCCTGCGCTCCGTGTCCCACGCCCGCGGCTCCTTGGGGGAGGCGCGGCCTCCTGCTTGGCCTCTGAGCCCATCCTGAGCCAGCGCTGGAGTCCTGTCCCTCCTTCTTCCTCAATGGGCCCTGAGCCAGCCCAGCTCTTTCGCCAGGAGGGTGTCCCCACAGCCGCTGGGGCCACCCCAGCATCACGCTGGCCTCTTGGCGGTACTAAACCCAGCGGACGGCTCTGTCTTCTTGGGCACCACTAGGGTGGCCCTGACGTGGCTCTTGGGTCACCCGTGGCCCTGGTGCCCTCCAGCCACCTTGACCTCTGCCACTCCAGCAACTAGTCACCCCTGACCCCTGACCTATGGGGGCCAGGCTACTCCTGCACCTTTTGTCTCCTGTCCTGTAAAGGGTGTCCCCCAAGTTTCTTCTGCACCCCATTTCTCTGTTCAATAAGGGGAGGGACCCTCAGATTTCCCTATTCCCAAAACTGCTGGTGGTCCTGATGTATGGGGCACCAGCTTGGGACAAACTGGGTGGGCTGGGGTGGGCCCAGCCCCTGGGCATCCCGGGCGGCAGGTGCAGCCTGGGAACTGGGGCTCCACTCCTGCACCTGAGGCATCCAGCCAGCACCAGGTCCCGCCGGGCCCCCTTGGCCTCCCCCACCTTGACTGTGACTGTCACTACTCTAGCATGGCCCGCCTCCCCCGCCCCATCCAGCTCTGCCACCCCCTCAAAAATAGTGAAACACAAGCATGGCACCACTGGTGTCCCCCTGACCTGGACACCTGAGTCTGCACTGTCTCCCCGGCATCCCGCAATGACGTCCCTGAGTCATGCTGACCTAAGAGCCAGACTCTCCTTCCTGGGGAATGAATGCCCCTGGCAGGGCCTCCACCTCCAAGCCCTCTTCTCTGTCAACTGCAGCCGTTACATCTGGGGGACACCGCAGGCTGATTCATGGCCCACCGTGATCTCCGTGGCCTCATCCCTGACACCCGTGACCGTGGGACCTGCAGATTTTGCAGGTGTGATTAAGGACCTGAAGCGGGAGATTGTCCCGAGTTGAGGGAGGGACCCAAGGTGCTCTCGAGGGCCCTTATAGGAGGCAGGAGGAGGGTCAGGGCAGGAAGCAGGTGAGGACAGGAGCGGAGGTGACAGAGGACCTGCGCCTCACTGCTGGCTTTGCAGGGAGAGGCTACACCTCCAGCCAAGGACACAGCACTTATAGAAGCCGGAAAAGGCACAAAACGCTTCTGCCCCTGGAGCGTCTGGGAGGAGCCAGCCCTGCTCACGCCCTGACCTTAGCCCAGCGAGACCCATGTCAGACCTCCGATGGCCAGACCAGGAGGTACCAACCTCACGCTGCCGTGAGGCAGGGGTCAGGAACCATCAGCTTTCTCCGCAGACCCCCCGCCCCGCTGGCTGGGCTCCTTCTCTGCTGTCTTCCTCCCGGGAGTCCTCTCCAAGCCTGTCCCGTGTCCTTTCCTGGGGAATCTGTCTGGGAGCCCCCTGGGGAAGCAACTGAGCCATCCCCACCCCACCCCCAGCCTGAGGGTAGCAGAAGCGCCCCCACCCCCGGCACCTTGGGGCTGGGGCTCAGGTTTCAAGCTGGGATGCTCACAGTGGGGGGGGGGTCAGCGTCAGGACCACACACGCCCCTCCCCACCGTGGCCCCCACACCGTCCTTCCTCCTCCCGATGCTGCCTGGGGAGGGCTCACCCACACACAGATGGGGAAGCGCCCCGGCTCTGGGCCCCCTCCTGCCCTCTCAGCACCCAACCATCGTGCATCCCCGGGGGACGCCGGGGGTCAGGGCCACGCAGGGCTTCCCTGCAGGAGCTGCCCTCCCACGCAGGGCCCTAATTGACGGTTGCAAAACAAACATTTGCTTTAGTGAGCCATGCTGAGTTAGATGCTCAGCGTTCTCTTAATTAAGCCTTGTGATGGATGAATCTCAGTACAGCAGCTGTTCTGGGTACTCAGGTATATAAATAAAGACAATGTTGGGGGGTGGCCCTGGCTCCGAGCTGCCAGCCGCAGGAGGGGGAACAACATGGAAGCAAGGGAGGGGGTGGGGTTGCCGGCACTTGTGCAGGATGGGGGGCCGGTGCCTGGAGAGGAGAGCCTAGAGGCGGGGAGGGGCCCAGGGCAGGGTGGGACTGGGCCTCCCAGCCCCAGCGAACTCAGCTCTGTGCTGGAACTCAGCCAGGGCTCTCCACTCCACTCGCCCCAGGTTAACTCCACCTCCTCCAGGAAGTCTGCCCTGACCCGGACTCGGGGCCACACCTTGCTCTGCCCCACGATCTCTGAGCACAGGGTCCCCAGGGGTCTGTCTGTCTTTTCCCGGCAGCCAGGGTGGAGGTAGGATCAGTGCCTGAACACATGAACGAGGACGTGAGTCTTCAGGCCAAGGAGGGGCTGGCCTCACTGACCTTGGGAGAGGCCATCTGGTGGCCTAGTGAGGCTGCCACTGGGGACAAGAGGCAGAGCCTGGAGGTGCCCTGAGTAGCCCCCAGGAAGGAGAGAAAGGGGGTGAGACAGGCACGGAGCCCTGCTGCATTATATTACCAGGACAGGCCTCACTTTCTCCCCAGACTGGAAACAGACCTGTCGGTTGAGGGTGGGAAGCGGGAACCGCGGAGAGGAGACCCCCAGGGAGGGGTTGCCGCAGAGGACCCGCTGTGGGTAACGTTAGGCAGGTGTTGGTGTCCTGCTGAGGCTGTCTGTGACCGAGGACATCTTAGTGGGTGATCCCTCCAGAGACAGGCAATACTGGGTCCCCAAGGAGGGTAGCGGGATGGAGGGGGGACCCAGGGGTCAGAGCCTGAGCCCACCACACCTCTCACTCTCTGAGACAGGCTGACCGCCCAGACGCATCCCCTCGTCATCTTGTCGACAGAGCATGCTTCATGCTGGGGGAGCCTGCACATGACCTGGGGTTGGTCCAAGCCAATCAGAGCTGTCTCTTCCCTTTGCTATCCACTGGCCCAGCCATGTGACCTTGGTTGGATCAGCCTAGGAAGTACGCTAAGTGGCTTCTGGAAGAGATTTTCCTTTTTGGTGAAAGAAAGGACCGTGTAAGGAGACACCCCTCTCACCCAACCCTACATCCCTTCCTGCTTTAGATGCTGTCATGTGAAGATGTGATGCCTGGAGCTGTGGCAGCCAGTTTATGTCCATGAGGTCACAAGCCAGAGGACAAATAGCCAACATTCAAGGCTGGTTGAGGGAAAGGAGAGAAGGAGCCTGGGTCCTTGACTACATCACAGCCTCCTTCTCAATGCCTGTGCCACCCGTATCCAGACTTCTTGTTTCAGGGGTGCATTCGATTCCTATTGAGACTGTTAAAAAAAAACCCACTTATTCAGTGGCTTAAAACAACAGAAATGTGTTCTCTTACCAGTCTAGATGTCCAAAAGCTGAAATGGGGTTTGTCAGGCTGAAGTCAAGGTGTGGACAGATTGTACCCTCTCTGGAGGCTGTAGGGCAGAGCCCACCCTTGCCTTTCCCAGCTTCCGGGCTGCCCGCTCCAGCCTCTGCCTCCGTGCTCCTGTCACTGTCTCTCCGTCCGCTAGCCAAGTCTCCTTTGCCTCCTTCCCCTACGGATACATACGATTACATTTAAGCCCCACCTGAATAATACATTTCAAGATCCTTAATTTAATCCCACCCACAACATCCTTTTTTCCAGGTAAGATCGCATCTACAGGTCCGGAGGATGAAGATCTGAACCTCTTCGGGAACCATCCGCAGCCTGTCACAACGAGGCCGTTGACTGCCCTGCTGAGTCCTCTGTTGGTCTAGTTTTCTGTCCCTAATAGCGGCCACCAGAGTCCTCCTGCAGAAAGAAGAGAATAGGACCCCTGTCACTGGACCAGTGGGGAGCGAGGACAAGAAAACAGAGAAGAGGGTGCCGGCAATCATAGGTCCTGGGAAGTGAGGGTGCGGGGACCCCCAGGTGCCCGGCCAGCTGCAAGGGTGAGATGCCCGGCAAGCACGGGGAGGCAGCGCCAGCAGGTGGCCCCGCCCGGGGTCCTTCTTAGCGCAGCCGACAGCGTCCAGAGGCTCCACCCAAAGGGCCTCATCCCCCACAGCCTCTTCTGCCTGGGGAAACCCGGAGGCCCATCGCTCCTGAACTCCACTCCCTCCTTCCGTGACTCCCTCACCAGCCTCCCCAGTGCTGCCAGAGCGGCCTCGCTCCAGGCATGATCGCCTCCCCATTAGCTGCAGAAATAACGATTTGCAAAATTGGGCGGAAGTTATACTCAGTAGTTTGGTGGTTAAATCTGACGCTGTGGATATTTCTCCTCCAAAAGAATTAAATGCCTCTTTCACGGACAAGCTCGCATCTTGTCATCAGAACCTGTTAAATATTTGTGCTATCAGCCATTTAATGTGGGTCTTGCTTAAATTCCTCCAGGTGTGCAAACCTTATTTGAGAGACGCCGGCCGGACACATGGTCGCAGATCACTCAGGACTGATGCTGCGTGCATTTAAGGACGTTTCCCTGGGCCTGTCAGCCCATCCCTCATCATATCCGACAGCGCATCATTACTGAAATGGGAGGTCGTCCTCCCCGAGGCTCAAGGATCGTGGATGCTGTTTGTAACGGCGATGTCCTGATGGATTGCTGGTCCTGCCGGACCTGCCTGGTCCTGCCTCGGAAGGAGGGAGAGGAAGAGAAGAGGGGCGCCCCAGCTCCACTCTCCTCCCCCCACCCCCAGCCCACTTCCCCCTCCCAGGATAGCTGTCCCGGGAGGATCTGTGCCCTCTGAGGGAGAAGCGCCCTTGCCTCTTCCAGCCCCAGGGGCCCCGGCATCCTTTGACCTCCGACTGCATCCCTCCCATCTCCGCCGCTGTCACTCCACAGCCCTCTCCTCTGTGTGTGTCTCTATAAGGACACTTGTCATTAGGTTGAGTGGGTGATCCCAGCCCGAGATCCTTACCTTAAATACATCTGCAAAGATCCCTTTTCCAAACAAGGTCACACGCACAGGTTCCAAGGGCTGGGTTACGTGGACAGAGATTTGAGGGGCCACCATTCAGCCCCCTAAGGAGAGGTGCAATAAACATTTGATGAAAGAATAAATGAATGAATAGCGACCAGCCGGTCACCTCCTGGCCCAGGATTTCTATGGCTTCACAATTAAAGAGGAAAAGAGAAACAAAACATCTAGCCCCATCGCCCGCGGAAGGTGGGGAAACCCGGCCTTCTTGGAGGGAAGAGACTTGCCCAAGTTCACTCCGCAAACCGAGTTGGGGGCAGGGGCAGGGCAGCAGCCCGCCTCCCCAACCCGTCCCGGCCTCCTCTGGGTCCTCAAGTTGAGACTGAGCTCAGGTGGGACAAAGCCCTGTCCGTCCGCAAAGGTAAATGACAGTGCCAGGCAGGGATGGATTCCTGGAGCGACTCAGAAGGACCCCCGCACAGCGAGCCCCTGCTCGCCCGGAGCCCCGCACCAGCTTCCTACACAGTGTCCGCGGTGACTGGTGTGCCCGCTTCCGCCGCCCCGGCCAGCACCCTGGACCACAGCCCTGAACAACCTCGGCCCAGAGGCACCTGGAGAAGCCTCACCCGGATTCCTGACCAGCAGAGCTTGAGAGATAAATCTGTGTTGTTTTCAGCTGCTAAATTTGGGGCCATTGGGTACGAAGCAGCTGACAGTGGAGCAAGGCTGCAGGCCGCCTCTGTCTCCAGCAGGCCGGCCCAGGAGCCGCAGGCACACCGCAGGTCACTGGGGGACCTTGAGGCCAGGGTGGGCCTCTCTCTCTGGGTGTCAGCCCCGTCTGGGGCCATGTGCAGGGCTGTGGGGGCAGGTGGGATTGGGGCCCCACTCCTGCTGCACCTCCATCCCTGCAGAGCAGGGAGACTGATGGCACTGGCGCCGCACTGCCGGGCTCAGGGACACACCCCACAGACACTGGCAGACGGGCTGCCACCGGGGGCGGCTCAGAGCAGGACCCCCGCCCCTATATGCAGGCCATCACCAGAAGCCCTCGCTGGGAGGCACTGCGGGCTATCCCCATTCTGGCCAACAGTCAGGCATCCCCAGCCCTGCAGCCCAGCACTGCTTCTCCACACACAGAATCCTCCTGGTTACACGTCAATTTGTGGCTGAGAAATTGCTCTCATAATAGTCCTGGGTCAGAGGCGGGCACTGGCGCGTTTCAGAGGATGAGCTCATCTTGCAAATCAGACGTGCAGGGCTCTGCACGCAGCAAACCTGCTCCCCTCCCTCTTGGCTACCAGAACCCAGCCCCTCTGGGCAGGTGCCCAGAGCGATGCGAGGGGCTGACAGAGCTGGTCCCCATCAGCACAGGCCGTCTCCATGGAAACCACGAGCACTGCCTTTGTCCTCAGGTGGGTGGTGGAACCGGCCCTGGGACAGCCTCACGTCAGGGCCGGTGATGGGTGGAGGCCCCCCGGCCACTCCCCCCACGCCTCAGTCACCCAGAGCAGCCAGGTCACTGGCCTCGCTCTGGGCTCCTTCCCGGAGAACGGAGCTCCGCTCGTTAGGGATGAAGTATCGGCGACGGGACAGGCCGCCCACAGACCATGCCGAACACCGCCCTTCGGCGAGGCGGCAGGGCGGGGGAGCCACGTCTGAGGCTGATTAGCTGTGTAATCGCACCGTTACTGCGCTGATAGCTGTGTTTGTCACGTTAGCTGTCCCAGACTCAGCAAATCCCCACTCAGCCACTGGGGGTGAGGGGCTGCATCCGACTCCCTCGGTGTGTGGGGAGGTCCCTGGCCCCAGGATGGAGACCCCGAGGTGACAGCAAAGGGGCATGGGGCCCCTGAGTGTAAAGCCATCGCCCGCCAGGGCTGGAGGGGCCCAGACAGACCACGCCGCCCAACACCCAGTTCCAGGCAAGGACCCCGGGATCGGGGAGGGTGCCCAGGTCACTGAGCAGTCGGAGCAGGGTCGGGCAGGAGCAGAGCCAGGTCTCCCGTTGCCGGGCCAGTGGCCCTGCAGGCGGAGCCTTTCCGAAGTGGGTGCAGCCTGCAGCCTCGTGGGACTGCTTCTGTGTGTCTGTCCCGCCCCCGCCTCCCCCTCAACGTCTGAAAGGCCAACAGGGGATCCAAGGGCCTGGTTCTCAGGCCGCCGCCAGGACTCGGCAAGACCCCCAGATCCTGGACTTGGCCCGCGGGGGTCTCAGAACCCAGCCACACAGCACGGTGCCCCATCTGGTCTGCGGCCTGTGCAGCAGTGAGCACTGATGGGCAGTGGGAGGAGGGCCCCGCGAGGCTCCTGCCGCTGGGGGTGGCGGGGGTGAGGGCTGACCGGCTGGGCCAAGCTGCTCTGTTTCTCTGCGTCCCTGGGCAGAGAGGATGCCCTGTGACATTGGTCCTGCCCTTCCAGCCACTCTGTTCTCAGTTCCAAGGCTCCAGGGCTTGGGACTCGGGTCCAAGATAAGTCACCTCTTCAAACAGGGTCCGAGTTCCAGGAGCCTCACCCACCGGGGCCAGGAGTGCGTGGGTCCTTCCCAAGGCGGGGAGCGTGGTTGGCGGCCTGGGGCTCTCCTGGTCCCCTTGGGGTCGTGTCACTGTGGGACTGGCTTTCCAAGGGACCGTGTGGGCTCCTTTCGGGTATGCACACACACACACACGTGAACGTCCACACACACTCACTCACATGTGCCCACGCAGACGCACACATGCGTACTCTGCAGGTGGGAGGCGGGGGAGGAAGCGGGAGGCGGGGGCGGAAGCAGAAGCCGGCCCCAGGGCTCTGCGTCTGTCCCTCTGCCCGCTGACCACGCTGACCAGGCAGCCGAGGACCACGTGGGACGTGGCTCACCTGTGACCACCCTTCCTGCTCCGGGGAGGGCCTCAGAGAGAGCATGTGTCCAGGCAGGCCCACAGGGTATGCGTGTTTGGGAACCAGATGCCCAAAGGATGAGCTCAGAGCTTCCATGAGAGAACCTGCCCCTTCTCTTATCATAGTCCCCAGGTACCCCCATTGGCTCCCAGCAGAGAAGGGCCTTCCCACACCCTGCACAGCCCAAGTACCCCCGCCCTCCTGCGCCCCACACCAGGAGCCCGGGTGGGCCTGAGCCGGGCATTCTGGGCACCCTCTGCCCCGAGAGTCACTGTCCTCTAAAACCTCAGCCAAGACGGGAAGCGGGGCCCCAGGGAGAGTCACAGCAAATGCAGAAGTGGGAGAGGGGTGAGCAAGGGCCGTGGCGCTGCCGGAAGGTGACCGCCTTGCTGAGTCTCAGGGGCCACTGGTGCCCCACCGTGAGAGCCTCAGCATGTCCGCCCAGGGGCGTGGGCTCTCCTGGAAGGAAGGGGCCCCTCCGATGGCGCTGCCGACCTGGCCCCACCCACCCTGGGTCAGACGGGGACTGTGGCGAGGGTGGGCGCGCTGCCATGCTGGCGCTGGATGCACTCCCCTGCCCCGGGACCACGTTGTCTCCGGGTTGTGCCTGCCTGTGTCTCCATCACATCTCGGTTATGAATGAGGCGTCCAGCGTGGCCCGTCCTTGCATTTTCCTGTGCAGCTGTCTGGGCCTCTTGCAGGCTGAGAGTGGACATTTGTCGGGGAGACTGATGAGGCTAACGGCCGGGAGCCACGCACCCCCGTCGCGTGCCTCTCCTGAGGGTAGCCGCTCACCTCGACTCCTTCTCTGGAAAGGTGCTTCCCGAGGTGGAGGCCCAGGAGCCCCACAGAGCTTGCTTAGAAGGGCCCAGACAAGGCAAGGTGGCGCACTGCAGCTCCCACAGCCCCGCCGCACCCCTGCCTGGGGCCGAGGCGGGGCTGGAAACTGCCAGACATTTGCTGAAGAGATATCGGAAACACACACGGTGAGTTCTGGGGCTGCCCTGGGCCCGGGGTGGGGAAAGGTATCTGTTCTGGCCAGATGGGCTGGGAGTCAAGCCTCCAGCAGAAGGGGCGGGCAGTGGGGCCACCACCCTGGGCGCCTGTGAGGCTGGAGGATCAGGAATGAGGGACTCCCTCCTCCCGGGAGCTCTGGGTACCCCACCCTCTTTGACAAACTCTTGTCCTATTCTCTCACAAGGTTTACTTTGGATTCGAGGCCCGAGGGGCCACCAGCAGGGGCCAAGGACACAGTGGATCATCAGGGTACAGGTGGGAGAAAGTGACTTAGATAGAGGCATTCTACCAGCTGAGGCCAGCCCCCCACCCTGCACGCCTCCGGGGTTACCATGACTCGGGTGGGGGGCTCTCTGCCGAGTGCTGACCAGGGTGCTGACCAGGGTGCTGACCTGGCTGGACCGGCTTTGTTCAGGCCCTTCCTCCCTGGCATAGACCAGCTGGCCCTTGAACATGGGCCTTCTCTTGACCAGCTTGGTTTGGGACAGGGGCAGCCCTGG